TTTTGTATCACCACATGCATGGCGGGGGGAGAGATTATATTGATAGTAAAGCCAATCATGGATGCATTGGCGGCCGGGGGGCAGCTTTGCCGGCGGTTCCCCGGTGGGTTCCGCCTGAGGCGGCAGGTGGTGCAAAGAGAACTAGTGAATAATCAAGAAACGGGTCTATAGCGATGGGCTATGAGCCATGATATATGCCAATTAGTGCAGGTCATGGTCCATTTTTTTTCGAATTATTCGAGGACATTGATGTGTTTCATTGATTTTAAATTTTTTGCCCTGCGATCCAATTTGTATAATTTTCCAAATCTATCAGAAGAATCAGAACAATGTAATTAGGAAAAATTTTGTTTTAAATTTGGAAATAGTGAAAAAGAAGAAGAAAACATAGAGGAAAAAACTAAACTCAATTTCCAGCTTTTTATATTTTGTTGATGCTTTGTTCTGAAAATATATTGATGCACTCGTGCAAATGTTGCATTTCACCATAACTTATCAAGGAAATTAAGCATGATAAAGCTACAACACTATCTCATTCAAAAAAAGTTACGTAACTTACCCCTTCGAGTGGCCGAGTTGGTGGTGGGGTGAACTCAGAGACCAAATGTTACAAGTTCGAATTTCCTGCCAACACTTTCTCGGTCGAGCCCGTCGCATCGGGTTTACCTTGTGCTGTTTACTTCTCTTGTGTGGTTTGTGGGCTACTATACATGAAGTGGAGTTTTACCTAGTGCACACTCATAGTGGTCGAGGCCCCGGCCCTTGGGGTAGTCGGAGCTTCGCTAGCGGGTAGCGGATGCAGGTTCCTGAGTCAATAAAAAAAAAATTTACGTAAATCACATTAAAATTGTGATTTTGATTATGTGGTTTAGGTTTCGACCGTTTCAAAATCGAACCAAATCGTTTGAAAATAGTTCGGCTTAGGTTTAGATAGTTAAAAAATCCTTTGAAAGCAAACTAATCAATTCGCTCGATTTGAAAAAAAAAAATTAATTAATTATTTTCAAGATATATTATTTACTAGATCAATTATACTTCAACAAATTTAATTTCTAGTCGACGTCTATTGACTCTTTAAAAAAAATTATTAACTTATGATAATACTTTTCTTATATAACGATTAACGAATGAATTTGTACGTGTATAGATTTATTGATTTAAGATGTATTGAGACAGTATTATATATGGTAAAGTTGATGGTTAGAAAGTTTTAATTTAAATGGTATAGTGAAATTTGGGACTAATATTTTTATTTTTTTCACTTTGTTTCAAAGATAATATTTTTATGTT